ATGCAAACCCAGACAACACGTGACTGCGCGCGTGATCGTATTTCGAAAGTCCCACTGTAGTGTGGAATAGTAGCTGCGTGATCTGCGACACTTGCAGTCGTTGCTGTCGTCCGACAGCAGCAGTCGGACGACAGCAACGACTGCAAGTGCCGCAGATCGATACGCACCCAATACTGTGCGACACTTGCAGTCGTTGCTGTCGTCCGACCGACTATGCGTCCGGCCCAATCCAATGTGTTCACGCGATGTTGATGTTTTTCACTCCCGCCGAGCCGTCCTCACGGACGCGCGACGGCCAACGAGACCCAGACTCATGAAAGTCCGCCATAGCGGAAGTTTGTCTGTTGAGCAAACCACGCTTACTTTAGGGCTGAGTATAGCTTCCAATACGGATGCTAAGGGCGCATTCATAGTCGGTCGTCCGATCGTGACCATGGCACAGCATTAGATACTTATCGATCGCCTGATATGCGACACTTGCGATCGCTGCGATCGTAACGGTCGTTGCGATCCGATTATGAATGCGCACTGACATCCACCTGAGCGCGACATTTCATTGAAGCGCGGAGAATTCAGGACTGCTCCTATTTTTGTCGACATTTTAGCTTTTTGCGTTCAGGAAATCCCTGGACAGAAGATGGTGCAGAAGAAGAGGCGGAGAGAAGTGGTGTGACAGAATCACCGAATTCAAATTTAGCCGCAGTGTTTAGACCAAAGAAACGGAAACGGTATGATACTAGAATATCTATGATGAGCTGTGAATAGAAAGACATTCAATATCTTTTCGTTACAGTGAGAGATTGTCAATCGACAATTCAAGATATGACAGCTTGCCGATGTGCGGTATAGAAGTACGTTTACCCATCGGATTAAAACCGTATCCGTCGCAGAAGCTTATGATGGTGCGCTTGATCACCTCAATCTCGAGAAGATTAAATTTCCTGGCTGAAAGCCCAACCGGAAGTGGTACGGTTTTTGGACTTTTGCGTTTTTTCACATAAAAGTAGTTTAACGAGTGAACATTGCACGATATTGCCTTTTTTCAAACTCAGTTTGGGAGCCGCAAAAGCTTCAAAAAGATTCATCATGGCTTGAATGATAAATATTTATTTTTACTCCTGATAATGTTTGTTATTGCTACCTTACCATTTTGGATTAGGGAAAACGTTGGCACTCTTGGCATCAAGTTGCGCTTGGTTGGATGATTATAAGAAGAAACGACGGGAGGCTCGAATGAAGTGTCCCGTACATAATGGAAGAAGCAGTGCGGTGAACACCTCCGGTACATTAATTCTCATGTAGTAAATTCGCGTAATGTTTGATCATATGGCGCAATGTGGCTCGGAGGGGGCAGTCACCGCGCGCGGCTCAGCGATGTAGTGTAACTCGAACATTCCAGCTTCTCACGCATGCTCAAGTGACTGCCCTCACCCCCACCCCCCTGAATTGGCTACATTCCCCCTGGCTCACGAATTTCCTGTTGCCGCAACGCCGCGCGCGGCGGCTGCCCCCCCCCCCCCGAGCCACATTGCGCCGATCATATTTTAAGCTGCCTCTCAATTTTTTTTGTTTGCTGCCATATTTGATCTTCTTCTTTAAATATGGACTAACTTTAGTGAAGCAAGAGTCAGAAGAAGGGATGTCGTTGGACGAAAATGTCAAATTGGAACCAGAAGAGGTAGGGAGAAAATATGGTTCAATGTTGCAGAGTGAGGGGATGCTATTTAGATGTTATCGTGTGATTTCCAGATCAAACAGGAATTGTTCGGCACTCAGAGTTCTCATCCATGTAGGTAACTTTCTAGTAAGGGTTCATGTAGCCGCAACCAATTCCTAACTGCCGCCCTTTTTGCTTCAGATGACTACGAGTTTGACTTAGACTTCGCCAGCAGTCCCCGGGCGAAAGAAAATGAGGTTGGTTCCTAAGCGTTCAAAAGGACTTACGATTGTTGGTAGGACCTAATTTTGCGACAAGTGATGCAGAAGGAACATAAGAAGGGCAAGGTAAGAGCTGTTTGAGTCCGCGATCGGTCGCGCGTGAATCGCGCACTCTGACACCAGCCCAAGAGATGCGCCTGGGGCAAATGGTTTTGTCCATAATCCGGCACTCTTGTCTTAAAAAGTAACATTCTCTTATTATTGTAACACTATTACTAATATGTTGCTTCAGAGAAAGGATCTGTCGAAGGAGATGAAGGAGCCGAAAATCGAGAAGAACTGCATATGTTTACCGTATGTTTTCTGCGGTCATTCTATTTATCATTTGCCATGTCATTTGCTAGACCATGTTGTTCTTGTTTCAGAAAGGCTCGTATTTATTACGGTACTAGAACACACAAGCAAATCGGTCAGGTTGTCAAAGAGTTTGCCCGTCTTCCGTATGGAGGCGTCATAAAGTATGTTGACTTTGATAACGTCATCTTGTTTTCTTTTCGTTTTGTTGTATTCGTGGAATTATTGAAGAGCAGCGATTACAAATTAGTGCGCGGAGCCCCAAGCTCCAGCAGTATAGGAAGACCAACCAGACTTCCTCTTTTCGGCTGCTACTGCCGCTTTGGTAACTTTGTTCAGCGTGGGAGACCTCGTCAGCCTCGATGAACTTTGTCCAGTTGTATGGGAAGTCTCACGAACTAATTATTAATTTTGTGATGGGCTCCGCCCGCTTCGATGCACGTACCGCCCACAGCCAGCATCTTACTTCCTTGCTTCCGCCAGCTCACATCCACTTTTCCCAATATCCGGGCAGTCTCGAAACGAGTTTTTAGCTACCTCCGCCCATTTCTCTGCACGTTCCACTCACCTTAGCAATCATCCTCCCCTACCATCATTCTGTTCCCTGGTATCGGCTATTTCGCAGCTGATTTAAGGGATTTCATAGCAAACTCTGCTTACTTTTGTGCACATTCGTCTGCTATCAACCCTTGGCGTCCCTTCATTGCTGACTGTTATCCACTTTTTCCCCACTCTGCGCTTTTTCGGAACCGAATTGTGAAGGTTTGTATAGAGCCCCGCCCACTCAAGGCAACGCTCCGCCCATCGTGTGCGGGTCTCTGCTCAGTTAAAGTGTATGCACCCAATATATTGCTTTTATGCCGCCTCTCTGTTCTACGGACTGCTATATGCGAATTGTTCGACAAGCACCTTCCGCGCTCCGCTTACCGCGGTGGGCCTCCCTGATTACAACCTGGCAACAAGTGGCCCACCTTCATCCATTTTCCCAGATCTCTATGCTATACTGGAACAGAACTAGAAATTTTTGTTCCCGACACCTGCTCCATTTCGACGCCTGCCACTGTGGGCGGCGCTTCACTTGACTGGCAGTCGAAACTCATACTGTAAGCAGGCGTTTTTGTGAATCTAACTCAGCAATTTCAGTCACACAATATTGGCAAGCCGAGAGCAGTCATGCGTCAATCAGGTTGCACGAAATTCAGGTGATATATCGGGCACCTGCAAGGAACTCATGTCTACAGGCGGAGTAAGACGTGTTTGCTGTTTTTACGCTGTTTTCTTTTTGCCATTCACATGGGTCCAGCTATTTCGTGGAAATTGGCATGCAGTAGTGTAGAACACATAGAAAGCGCTCGTTGTATTGTGCGATGATTGAAGGAAACCTTGAGATGTGCGAAAAGTTTTGGTTGCCATTTCATAGCTCCGCGCACTTAAGTTGCTCCACACCCAGGTTGTGTAGCTCATTGAGTTAAGCTTTACCCTCCATACATGACGCAGAATGAAGACCTAATTTCAGCATGGATGCCGATTCAAAGACGCTATGAAACTCGGTTTTGAAAAACCCCATAATTTAAGGAGTGTCTTGCAGCAAGCGGTAAGCCGTGGTTTACAGTTTGTTGTTTACTTTGGTTATTTTCAAATTAGCTTCTCCGATGAATTTTTCATGAGATTTTTGATTCATTTATCTCAGGATGCTGTGGTGTTCGACATTGAAGAACTGGTCGATGTTTTATCATCGATGCCGAGTCCGATTTGCCCTTATTTTTCATCCACGCGAGTACTTACCCAAGACGCAGACATTATTTTCTGCCCTTTCAGCTACCTTGTCGGTACGTTACTATGAAAGCTTTAGTCTGGTTTGATCAGCACTCTATCCATTCCTATTAGATCCTATCGTACGTAATTCCTCTGACGTCATCTTGAAGAACAGCGTTGCCATCCTGGACGAAGCGCATAATATCGAAGACACTTGTCGCGAGGCCGCTAGCTTCATCTTTCATGAGAGAGAAGTCGCTGATGCGCTGGAGAATTTGAAAGAAAAAGGTGAGTATCTGTGGATTCCAGGGCAATGCAAGGTTGTAAAACTTCCTATATTCAGAGAGTGTATCTTTGAAGCTGCTTGAACTGTGTGCCACCGGAGCTGATTTGGTAGAAGGGGTTGCCAAGGAATCAGCCGGTGCGGTCATGGACAATTTATCGAAGCATCTAGAACACACCACCACGGTACTGCCCACTTTGTAGTGAAACCTGTATTGGCTCACCGCATTTGCATCGTTCCAGCTTGCGTTGTTCGTAGACGACCTATCGAAATGGTTTCGCGATTCAGCATCCAAACTGTTGGAAAACGCATACAGCGACAGTATGGGTAATCTCTCACATACAGTGTAAGGAGTTCCTTACCTGCTCTGAATCTCTGGAAATAAGGTGTTCTTTTTTTAGTAATCACGCGTACATAGATGTGGATTTGAGAAGGTTCCATTTGCATCCAGAAGATGCTCGATATGAAAAAGTCAAGGTAAGAGTTTCACAAAACTTCTGGCCCATTCTGCGCTTCACTGCTTGTAATGTTAAGCTGAGAGGCTTGAAAAACTCAAAGGTTATGGTCACGCTGGCTAGGGCGTAGCGCTTTGGTGAAATCTGAATGACATTGGGTGAAGGGCGTTAGAGGCCACACGCCCAGCGCGCGGCGGGGTCTAGTAACAGTGGCGTTTAATGACATCATCGAAACCGTCTTACCCTCCAGCCATCGCGATCACTGCCTTTAAAGGAGGAATTCACGATTAGAATGAAGGTCGAAGAAGGAGTAATTCACCTAGTTGAGGGACCCACGGACCTCCTGAGGGTGCGAACTGACGCGCAATTCGCATGAAAAATTGACCTCGGCGACCTATTATGGCTCAAAGCGCGGTGGGCCAGTGCACGCCCACCGATCATCTGATCACTCGCCGCAGGTCTATACGTGGCGAGTGATTAGATAGCAGAGAGTGTTGAAGAGGGCACAGCGATGAGAGTCGCATCAATGCTCAAATCAACGGGCAAGGAAGGGGTCCCATTTCTCGGGTTCTGGGCCGTTTCTCATGGTTCTTCCTTCTTTCGTGTACCACTCACCATCCCTAGGTTAATTTGAAATGGGTTGCTTTTTCATCGTGAATTCGTCCTTTAATCTCAAAAACCTTCATGTTGTCTGGAAAACTGCCAAAGAAATCCTAGAAGGACATAGAACTTTCATCACTTGTATTTGCAAAATCGGAGCGAAAGCAAAAGTAGTGCAGTTGAGACGATGCTTGTATTGGTCTTTCGTTGATGTTTGCAGTATTTTTATGCCTGACATGACAATTCATTTACGTTCACTTTAGACTGCTTTCAATGGTGTTACCGCCGCTTATCAAGAGGGTAAAGAAAACCTTCCTGTCGAAGTGAAAATCAGCTCCACAGCTATAGTTTGTGTTGAGAAGTGGCTATATTTTGTTGGTTTTTTCAAGGACGAAGATAAGAGGAGCATGTATAAGTGAGTTGTAGAAATACTTTATCAAGACGGGTCCAAAGGCACTTCTCGTAAATAATTTCTCGTAACAATTCCCTTGTGAATAAAGTAATTGGATTCACAACCGTAGAGGCAATAGTACTGTCCCATACCTCCTGGAAATACCCTGGGCATAATCGGTGCACGGACCTTATCACAAGTGCTTCTATGTCTGGGCATCGCCCTTCACTATGTTTTCTCGTTTGGCGATCGGCTCCGTTTTCATAAGCTTGGCTTCACTTGGGAGAAGAAAGCTTTCGTCCTCACTATCCTAACGGCTTCCCTTCTTTTCTTCACTAACAATCCGTTTCGTATATCAGCCCATAGTTGGAGCACAATGCTTGCAGCTACCGAAGCATTGTGGAATGTGCCTATAGACGACCTAATTCAAACAGGTAGTTCATCGATACTTTCTCGTTTTCAGGATGAACGTGAGCAGCGAGTACCTAGACAGGTTCAATGATCGCCCCTCGTTTAACCAAGGACAAGCTCGACGGAGTGGTCAAGGTGGATCCAAGAACGTGAACTACAGCCAGGTTGATGGTGCAGATGTGTGGCTTTCATCAACACCAGGCCCTTCTAGTCATAAACCAGTTCGGCCTGGATATAAAACTTCCATAAGTTTATGGTGCATGAGTCCGGAACTGGTTGGTAGTTTTTTTTTTTAGAAATTTGGCTGCATTCCCATGTACGCGTTTTCATCTTTAGGCTTTCACTAGTGCGTTTGCTGAATGCCGATCTGTTATTCTTGCATCTGGCACCTTGTGCCCTGTCGATACGCTTAAGACTGAGCTAGGTCTCAAGTTTCATTCCCAAGTGAGTTGCTTCTTTCCCTTTTTTGACTGGTGAAATGAGCTGAATTAAGCGTTGCTGAGATGAATTGATCGCATGCGTATGAGTGTAGTGCTGCTAAAACTTTCATGAAAGTCAGTAAAATCGAGAACACCAGTAATGGTTGGATATTGTAAATTGGCTGCTAGTGTTTGACTAGGCAGCAATAACAGATTGGGAGGATAATTCAGTCATGGCTTTGCTTTTTTAATCCATCTTTGAAGAGAAGATACAAGGATTATGAACAGAAAATTCGTGGTTCAAACTAAAGGGGAATTGGGGGCCAACCAGTGTGTAAGTCAGCGAAGTTTGTTCTTCCAAGCGAGTTTGATGCATTGAGCGACTCGAATTGTTGGAAGGCCTGTGCTGGACACGCTTTGGTTGACGGATCTCTTCCGTAGTAAGTGGCGCAGTTTGTCACGATAGGACTCCATCCACCCGTGAAGCTAATCTCTAAAACTGTTCCTCACTTTGGCTTTGGGCTGCTCATTTGCATGCAGACGTGTAATATACTGTAATTTCCAGATGGAAGGAGATCAAGTAATTCCTGCTGATCAAATTTTTGCCTCCGTTTTGCCTGTGGTGAGTTAATCGCTCTTTTATCAATACTAAATGAAGTTTCATAGACGATAGCCGTTCAGGGTATAAACGGCTTCAAGTTATGCGCAACCTACCAAAATGTTTGCGACGTCAATTGTAGGTTTATTAGTGAACTGGCATTGATTGTTTGGTAGGTGGTGTATTGATGTTTTTATTTTTTATTTTTTCATTACTAAAAAAGTTAATGTTCATTGGTTTTGATCACGATAAGTCGTTCCAATTCATCGTGAGTTCCAATTCATCGTGAAACATTCATTTAGTCGTATTTGTTTGACGGTACCAAAAGGAATTCTCTGTTTCTTGCCCAGCTACCGTTTCTTGAACCTGCTTTTTGAACACATGGAAATCACGTCGATACTGCGCCAGGTTCAAACACGAAAGGTATGACTTATGATATGGCGTTTCCGAGCTAAATATTTTACGAATCAGTTGCTCAGGTGGTGGTAAAGGAGCCTCGACGTTCTTCGGAATTACCTGAAATTATGGAAATCTACGAGGGTGCCGTAAGAAACCCTGAACAGCACGGCCGCCATGTAGATGGAGCTCTGATGTTTGCCGTTTTTCGAGGAAAGGTTTGTCACTTGAGCGGGTATCCATTTTCTCATTCACCAACAGGTTTTGATTTTATATTGCACGACTTATGTCTCCGAAAAAATCGCCTCAATTTTTGGGCCACGGAACTTTTTCTTCACCAGCAACGAAAATATCAGTTGCTCATCTTTCCCGTTTGGGGATAATTGTACAGTATGTCTGAGGAACCATGCGCACATTCTTAGACGCAGAACTTGGATTAGGGCGGCAACAGTCAGGCAAAAGGAAAACTGATCATTTTGCTTTTCATGGCATGCACTAGTGAAGTTTATGCCGCCATGATGACAGAGTAGGTGCAAGTTTTGGAAGTAGGTATTCTGTGGTTTTCTATGGCAACCGGGAGAACTGCCCACCTCATAGTCTGTAGTCGGCTGCCACTCGCAGACGAATCCCTTCAAAGGCTATAGTTGTACGTTGAACAGAAAAATCGGCATATTTTCTTGACCAAATTGCTTCCTCGAATTTAGTCAGTTTCCTGGATATCTTCACTTCAACTCTAAAAGTTTTGCCGTGGCGCCGGACAGCTCCGCTAGGTCCCACCGTTGTTACACACGAATTTGAGTGGATCCAAACCTAAAGGCAAGTCTCGGGACACAGTTGTTGTGGAATAACGTTCACTAATGAAGCTAGAGGTGGGAAGTAGAGTAGAAAAGAAAACGGACGCAAGAGGAATACCTGATTACGCCCCGAATGAGGACCCCTTCATTTCAGCCGCATTCCACCTTGGGATAGAGAAGGGGCGCGTTGGACGAGTTTCACGAACTAGCTCAGTTGCTCCAGTGCCAATGACATTGAACGCAATGCAACCGCTGCCGCAACTGCGCCCGCGCTTTTTCAAGCAGCGTCACGTGGCAACCGACAGCGGAAGGCGGGGCTTGCGGACGAAGGTGTGGATTGCGGGTTGAGCGAGCTTCCAGCGCCTTTGTCGCGCACTTTCAAGCCGCAAAAGGGCGCGACATCAACGCTTGTCCGCCTGTCTACTACGCTCGGTATAGAACAGTTCATGCTTTTGGGCTGATCGTCAGATACAGTATATGCGAGGAGTAAGTTCACAGACTTTAAGGGACTAATATTGCGTGTTCGACGTAAGCGTCTTAAGTTGAATTCAATCCCTCGTTGTATGTTGCGTAAATTGGTGGTGCGTGCCATAAATGAGGCGTGGATTGACTTTCACCCTCTCGGTTGCGGCTGAATCATACCCACTCATTGTTTCTGAAGTGTGTGTCCACTTGAGTTTTTCTAGTTGGCAATTTAATAAAATACCTTGTTTTGATCTTTCGTAGATTATCCTGTTTAGGTATCTGAAGGTATAGACTTCGTCGATGACCTCGCAAGAGTAGTCATCTCTGTTGGAATTCCTTTTCCTAACGCTATGGATGCCTTGGTATATATGGTTTTATTTGATTACTTTTTCTCCGGGTCTTTTGTTAGTCTGTTGTGCTTTAGGTGAAGGAGAAGAAGGCTTACAACAATGAGTTTTGTAAGACAAAGGCCCTTCTTTCGGGGGATCAGTGGTATGTTTCACAGGCATATCGTGCGCTCAATCAAGCACTCGGCAGGTTAGAATCTCTTACTCTGCTGATTGTGATTCCGATAAGACTAAAGACGAGCGTTCAGATGTTTGCGACATAGAAATGACTGGGGGGCTTTGGTCCTTATTGATGAGCGTTTGGTAGAACAGGCCAAGCCTCAACAGAGCATGGGTAAGTACTTATTCAATGTGTGTTATTGTGTGAGATTTTCCCATTTTCTATTCAGCTTCGGTCTCATCAGCACGAGTGTCGGCATGGATAAGGAAACAGTTGATCGTTTATCCTCAGTTCAGTGATTTTGATAGATCTCTTTCCGACTTTGTGCGTCGAATGCAGCTCAAGGATGAAGAGAATTTTGCACTAAAGACCACTTAAACATCCGTCTCTCCCTGCTACGCTCTCAGTTTTCCACTGCTTTGTGTACTGGTGTTCTCACTGCTTATGTTGCTACCTCTAATCTTGTCATCCGGGTGATTATTGCTCTTGATTTCTAACGGTGATGTAATAAATATGAAGTTTTTTCTAGTGCTGTAATCATAAGTTGTGTTCAAATTCGCTTTGAGAACTCAACTTTCGGAATACATATTGCACAGCGAAGCTATGGACTACGAAAGCCGTTATGAGTTTTCCAATAGCTGAGTTTGTTCCTCTGGTTCTGGAGATTCTAATAAGGAAGGCTAACCAGCTGCCGGTAACGGTAGCTGGAAAGCAACATTCAGCGCATTCATAGATGGATGACGCGGGTTCTTCAACTCCCCAAGTACAATGGGAACAGTTCCGTGCAGAGATGCGTAAAGCGTTCTTCTTTACACAAAGATTTTTATGTTCTCTTTCCTGTTACGAGAAGTGTCGCAATTGCGGACGTAGCAACATTTTTGGCATTACATGGCATCAAGAGCAAAAACACAAGTGGTAACGATTTTCGTTGATACGTCATCTGAGTGAATGCGAAGGTTGGTTTGGAAAGAATTGATTGTGTACTGTAATCACGGCGTCCGGTTGAACGTAGTGTAGCTGTCTTACAGCAGATAGGGGGTCATATTTGGTGGGATGACTTTGTATTGGATTGTTCGGAAAGCTGCCGCCATTTTTTGTCGCCCATTTTTCAACGGTTCATTTCTGAATAACTCTTGAGAAACTCCTAGCTTTCTACACACCATTAGAAAGCGCATTTCTAGCTCTGTATAAATTACCGTTATTTTAGCACCAAATCATTTTTCTCCTCTTTTTTGAAGTTTTGCGTAATAACTACTCCAAAACGGCTGTTTTGCAAGAGTATGTCCACTCTAAAAATTTGGTCGCGGAATGTGACAGAAGCAGTCGCCATACCAATCGAGCATCTGATCCAAAATTTACAAAAAAAAAACACACACACACGGTGTGCAGTCGTGATTCAGAATGCCTTCCTCGCGGTGATGAAAGCTTGAAAGAAAATTAAGGTGAAGGTCGGATATCGGAGACTGACAAAGATTAGTTTAGCTGAGGATTTTGATCAAATCAAATCTGCATGGAGCTGTTGTGCAGGCCGCTTCTTGAAGGCAGCGGTTATGATATATTCGAAAAGGGTCTGAAGGAGATGCGATGGTGCTCAATGGCACGCAGTGTCAAAAAAAAAAGCTGAGAAATCCGCCGAGAAAACGCGAAACGGGACCCCCTTTTTGGCGACTCTTTTTTTCACTCATGGAAGCGGGCAACAGCTCAGAGAAGCGGGCGTATGAAGGAGTTCAACGCATCGCGTTTGGTAACACCATGCCAAACCACGGTTCAATCGAGTTGCTCCAGTTGTGCCGCTGCTAAACACAGCTCGTCCAAATCACCAACTAAACTAGTGGGCGGATCGCTTTTGGGGGCGGAGTGCTTTCGAAGTCCTGCTCAGCAACCAGCGCACCTTTCGTCGTGGAAAGCGCCACATCTCGCTTCCTTGGCAGCCAAGTAAGTCCTCGTGCGGTGCATTTGCTTCTCCGATGCGCTTCCTCCTTATCGTAGTCGCTGCCTTCAATCGGACGGACTGCGATGGGGTTCCCAAGTAAACAGGTGAGGGTGAAACATCAAAGGTCGACAAGTGGGTGCCGCCGGCTTTCCCATCACAGTTGCGCAGCCCATCTCACACTTCAAGCGGTGCTAAAATTTTGAATTAGACTCGCAGACGTAAATCATAGACTAGGAGCTTTCAAAGATAGCGAACCGTAAGCATTTTATAAGCAGTGTGAAAGAGAGCTTGGGAAGAACATTTCTATTAGGACTAATCATGCCAAGATTCAAGAAGGTCGAACATGGACCATCTGAATAGCTTTTCGAAGAGATCAGACATTGAAACCCAACATGATGATGAAACGACCATCGCCGAGTCCTTCGCCCACAGAACTCCTGCGCTTTCGGCATCCGAATCTAATGCACACCCTTCATATAGGCAGAGGTATTGGGACTATAGTAGTTTCCATTTAGATCGGAAATCGAGACTTGTTTTGTTCAAGCCGAGATATGCGCTTTTTTGAGGGAGTCAAAATCGGCGAACACTTCCGAACAAGAGTTAGGAAGAGAAAGCTTGACAAAACCCTTTCAGTTAAGGCAATTCTCAGAAGCGTCAAGGGTTTGAGCGAGGAAGTGAAGAGAGTAGGCGCCGGACTGCACTGAAAAGACCATGTGGTTCGTTGAACGAGATGGGAAGGCGGGAGTCCTTTATAGAGAATGTCTTGAAGTTCTAATTCTCCCCAAAATTTCTTCCAGTGCAACTATATGCCATCTGACTATCGAACTCCTCTCTGATGGACCGGATCACCGGGGACTCGGTAGGAAAAGACCATGGTCGCAGAAATCATGAAAGTTTCTTTGTCGACAGCTGCCCAGTAAGACCTCCTTAGGATTATAGCGGGTATCTCAAAATGCCGACAATTTTCACTTACTTTCTCACGGATGATAAGACGCAGCTGTTTTCGTCAAACGATCCGTAGAAAACAGCAAATGTTCTATGCTCTCTTCACAGAAAGAAGCTCTGCTTTTACCCTTCTGAATGGAGATGGTACCATGCCCTATCATTTGCACTTCTGTAATACCCTACAGGAGATACAATGCCTCCGGGGGCGGGGGGGCAACTCTGTCGGAAGGCCGACTAGGACTAAGCCTAACGTAGAGGGACGAATTCCGAAGCGAATGGAAATTGCTTAGGAAGCTCAGGATTCCCTCTTTTCCTCCAAAGCTTAGTCCCAAAACTGGAAAGTTTTCGTGATATGGACGCAATGTTACAAGCTGGCCCTCTGGAGCCGACATTTGCACCAGTAGATTTCAACGCTGTATTAAGCTGCGCCGTTATCTCGGATCGCGTCGGCCTAAAGCTTTCCATTTTCAAAACATATAGATCAGGCTTGTTTTGGCAGTGCACCTTCTTGAGCATTACTCATCCTTACTTGAACTCTAACTTTTCCCTGTGTACTACAAATAAATAGAAGTAACTAAAGGAGGGTGCTATTTCAGTTGGGGGGGGGGGACCACGCGGCGGAGCGGCGCTATGTTCGTGTCCTCCTCAATTCCTTTCAGCCTTTCGAAAAACTGGTCGATTTGACAATGCAAAACCCGCGTCTGCCCACATTGACCCCTTTTACAATTTTCGTTACGGTATCGCAAAAGTTGTGTATCACGGACTCAATGCAATTCAAATTCCTCAACGCTCGAGCGCCAACTTCAGTTTTTTTTAGTAGGGATTTCTACTTGAAATGCTCACGACTTTCTTCTTTTAATACCGTTTTCATAGGTATGTTAAAAACCTAGACAGATGCTATGTGAGATAGGTGACTTACAGTGCTTGGTATCGGGTGTGAGACGTAATTCAACTGACGAGAACATTTTTTCGAATACTTCTATCTTTTGAGACTGGAATATCGTTTTGTAATATTTCTCACGCGATATCATACATTTTATCGTTGTTTTGTCTCATTATATCTAGCCAATCCCGTTTAGTTTATAAGCGTTTTGATCTAATAGCTAGAGCACATATCTTGATAGTTTATAGGATTACGATATCTCATTAACCGTAACAGATTCCGGTACTACTTAACGACCCACTAGATCTAGGTACTGAGGTGACCCAAGTGTCTGCACCAGTGGAACCCACTATAGCAAAAAATAACTTCGTGTGAAGGGTGCCTCTCCGGAACGGTGTTCAAGTGCGCTGTTCACGATCAGGACATATTTGGCGCACTCTGGAGCCTGTCTGGCAGCAACATTGTGTCCAGTTGTGCTAAAATGGCACCAAACGACCATACTCTGGCACCAGAAATGAATGTCGAATTGGTGATCGGGGCACAGGATAACCCAAAGTTTAAGTTCACAGCGATTTTTGTGGACATGGATTTTGCACCAACGAATAACGGTTGACATATCCGTAAACACAATTCACGAAAAAAGTTTCCAATGGGCGATGTTGTGGTGGTGGAATTTTTTACCCCCGTCGGTTTTCCCAGTGTTTGCAGGAGGAACTCGACATTATACGCGATATGTCGAAATTGGAGTTTTTGGGTTTGTAATAATTAATAGTGCCCAGCTTTAAATGGTACTATTATAATGCTTAGGCACATTTGGCGCAATGTGGCTCGGGGGGGGGGGGGGGCACCTCGCAACATCGCGTCAAAATCACGGAAACGCTCCGTTTTAGGACTAAGCTTTTGAAGAGGAGAGGAACTCCGGTGTACGGAAGCAATTTTCGTATTCTCCGGAGTTCGTCCCTGCTGTTTAGGCTTAGTCCTAGATGACTTTTCTCAGAGTGCCCCCCCCCGAGCCACATTGCGCCCAATTTTGAATAATTGTGAAAAATAGCGAATGTGTCAAGCCAAGATAATTCCAAGGATGTGTCCCATCTATGATGTCTCTGTTTCGTTTTAGATGGACCAATTATGGGTGAAGTGCACTTTGGAGCACTACGATACTACGTCTGTGAAGAAGTTCGATGGATCTCTGTTCGTAGACACAAGCGACAACTCCTTCAAAATTATATCTAGTAATAATAACAGAGGTACAGTACTGTTCCTACTATTTCCTGGCTTTCACTATTTCACTTCACTCGTACGAATTCATTCTAGAGCGCTTCATTTCAGCATAAGTTCTATGCAAGCGAGTTTAACCGCTTAGGAAAACCGCCAAGTAAAAGTACGGCCAAACAGTTCGATCTCGAATTCAATTTGTCAAAGCAGTTACCAGCGAAACATCATATAAGGTTCTTTATTACAACCATACTTTCTGCAGCACAGCTTGAGAGGGGAGAGGGAGGTGGCCTGGTGCTTCGCTCGTCTGCGCCTTCTCAGCAACACAGTAATAACATTCTGCTAAACGAGTTCCGTTAACCAGGGCTTTGAGCAGTTCAGGAGGCAGGAGTAGACAAGTTATTTAACGAACCTGAGAAAGCGGAATAGAGAGTCACACTTCGTCGCTGAGGCGTGGCAGACGAACATCGCCGTCCGCCCTATCCCCTTCCAACTACACTAGCATCTACCTTTTTGTTGAAAAATAAGTATAATATCTGGAAGCATTTATTCAGAAAAAGAAAACTGGTATTTCGAGTGGCGGAGTTTTCTCAACGGATCAGAGATGTTTACGACGAGTTGGCAAAAATTTTCCCTAGAGGAGCAAGTAAGTAATTCGTGATTATTTTCCGTACAATCGCTTCGAGATTTCATTTCTCTTTTTATATGAATTTTTATGTTTGAACTAAATTTATGAATTTTTATTTTTGAGGTGCCGATCGAGAACCTTCGCGTAAAGTTACTTCTCCGGTAGGTATGCTCCGTAGTCGTCCAGAAACAAGCAAACGAAGTCGACAGGATGTAACAGGGTTGGTTATTTTTGCTTTGCCTCTTCTTTTTATTATTTCATTTCCTCATTCGAAGAATTGTTGAGCTTGATATTCCATAGATTTTTTGTTGTTACTGCTGTGCCCTTTCAGGCGACCACCGTCTTTTGTCACAGAAACGCCACAGCAGAACAAAACTACGAAGCCAGGTTTGTACTTGCAATCTATGATTACATTCATTCGTTTTTGGAGTAAAAGCTTTATAGGCGGCACTCCTACCTCCAGCTCGAGACCGCGAAGCCGAACTAGTCAAAAAAGCTCACAATCTAATGTTGAAAATCGCTTGAAGAGCCCAAACTCGGGAATAGCCAGTCTGGTGGAAAATCGCAAAGAGATTGTAAGGGATGATGTCATCGAAGAGCCAAGTACCTCGGCAAGATTTTCGAGAGACGACTCTGATGAGTTTTTCCAACACGCTACTCAAAAAACGCTGAAATATGATGCAACGGAGAGGTCGAAAAACGCTACCACTAAGGAGAAGGCGACCTTGGCGGAAGATGCTATCACAAAAACAAGCAACTCTGAATTGGGAACACAGGGCAGCGTAATAGCGCTCATGGAGAAGAAAGCTCTGGAAAGTTGTGCTATTAAAGTGACTGCGCCGTTCTCAGCTCGCCCACACACAGTCACTTTCAAAACAAAGCGCAACAACTACCACAGTCCACCTTCTTCGTCATTGTAAGTGACTGTAATGTTGTCATTGTGGTTTTTTTTTCAAATCTAATCATTTATCCATTATCTACTATTTTATTACTATTACTATTATTTTATTTATTATTTATTTTTTGTTATATTTTATATTTTGTTCATTTGTTTTTTTTAATGATTCTGTTCTTATTCTTGAGATTATTCTTAGGAAAATTATTAGATCGCGGGTTGAGGGAGTGTTGTTGGTCTAAATTTCCCCATTTATACGCCCGAAATGATAACAGTAATTGTGTTGACAGAAATTGTTTTCTGCTGTGAAATCGTGATAATTGATATATGTCTTGCACTGAGTGTTT